AGATATAACTCATGTAACATATTAATTCTTATAATAACGTTTGGTTAATTAAAACAGTGGATCAGTAGGTAAAGATGAATGGCGATCCACACTCACAGACGTTTTTATTGAAAAGATTTAAATAGTATTTTCTGCATATTTATTTTCATTAAGTGAAATAATTGACTAACCGCTTCATTCCCCTTAGCATCCTTTGGTTGTTGTGCCACCAAATGCACTAGTAGTGCTGCTTACTATGTTAACAGTCTGTAAGTGAAGTATAAATTTCACTACTGATTTGAATTTCGCTGTTAGAACTTTACAGTTTCAAGACATGTGGTCTGAGTACAGTTTTGTTAGCTTTCAGGATACAAAACTTAATAAAACAGCTAAATACATCTAGACTTTTATCTGTACAATAATAAAATGTTTATTATTTATTCATAAATAGTAAAGACATTGAATTTGGATTGTGGTTAATGGTAGAACCTTGGACATGTGTTACTCTCAATCTGTGACTAGTCAAATGGATGACCTAGATCAGTGTTAACGTTTAAACTCAGATTAAAACTCGGTACCTTTTGCTTCAAACGATAACGCGTTATGTGCTGAGGTGAGGAATAGACTCAGCATTCCATTTACATATAAAAATTTGACAAAAGCCATCAAAGTATACCTCAGCATAACAATGATATTACATCATTCGTAGTAACCCTACGTCCTTGTGCCTCCATTGTTAAAGATATGGAAAATCTATCGACATAAAACAGTAAAGAATTTAGATGTACTGTAAGTACTTCCACCCAGTTGACGATTACAAGCTAAAGAGCTACACATATGCTAAACCAACACGATATTCGACTGCCTAAATGAACGATATTATTTTACATAAATTGAACGCAACGCATAGTAAAGGTAATAAGTCTCTAAACTTGGTAACTTAATTTCATTACTTCACTTCCTAGAAATTCTTGCTGCTTTCGTCATAACCTACATCAGATTGTATAATACCGCCTTTCAATTCTGGGTCTGGTTCTGTAGGTAATGTCTCTAACTTTATGTTCTACTCGATTATTCTAAAGTAGATAACCAACTTTCCTACTTAACTATGGCTCAGATGAATAAATGACACACTTAAAGTAATACAAGGTATTCTATCTAATAGGTTTCTTCAACCTAGTCAAACTTTCATAATTAAGGTTTGAATAAATCAAACTTTCTGAGAACGTCCAGCGACTTAACGGAAAAGTAAACATTCGTCTGTCTATATCATTGATATATTACAAATATATCAAACAACGGCGTCCATATATATACCTAACGAGTGCGAATATATCGTAGTGTTTTTCGCTGTTCTCTGATGTGGTTGGTTTAATTGCGAGTGTTTCGAACATCAGGATAGACTGATGTAGCACTAATTAAATAAATAAGCACCTCACCTCTACGTGATATGGGAGGTTATGCTATCCAAAATGAGTTAATTACCTCATGCATTAGGTGCCTGGGTATAAATTATGCTAAAAGTGAAGGGTATCGTCGCTGTTTAATTGCCCAAACCAAAGTAGGTAGGGCGGGGTTCGAACCTGTGACTCCGAACTGAAATGCGAGCGCTCTGACGACGAAGCCATCGATTCACAATAATAATGAGCGCTCCGGAATTAAATCAGTCAGCTTAAAAAACCAAATCAAGCTATAAAACTATCGTAATATGCACCAACCGAGTGGAAATCCAGATCAAGGAAAAATTTGTATTTATGTTTTATCTCCAAATACGTGTGCGAATAAGGATTTTTATACTTCATGGTGAGTATCCCAACAGAGAATATGAGATACTGGTTATCATCTGGATTTAAATTAAATAGTCGGATGTCGTCATAAGCATGAAGTCCCCATCATGTAGACAGAAAATGATAAATAGGGTCCAAGGACGCAACTAGTCCACAAGAGAATACGATATAATCAGATAGTGAATCGGTCACCCTGCATCAGAGTTGGTGGAACATCATTAGGTTTGACTGGTATACATTTTGACTACTTAATATTGAGATAACCAGTTACTTGCAGCAACTCCAGCAGTATATCACTAGGTGACAGATCTGCTCCCAAAGACCATCTATGTACAGTGAACTTAGTCCAATGCATTCTGATATAGCAGTGAACGTCCTACCAGTAATTTTTGAATCTTGGGCTCCTTTCTTTACTAATTATTTTTTTGTCATATTAAATAAAAGTAACATTCAATGACAGTTTTCTCGAAAACTTAACCTCGATCTGAGAACGTTGTCATCAGTATTATTATTACTGCATTCCCCCTTTACTTGTCTTATATTATCATTGTTTTTATTCGTAAATGCTCATCATATTACCTTATTTATTTTCACACCTCTATGACCTTTAATTATTATAACAAAAACATTTTAGTCGTCTTATTATATTCACTAAATCTATTGTTATTATTCGTATTACGCAATCTAGTATTATAACCCTTTTTATTACGTCATGGTTTACTGTGTTCATATTTCTTCACGGAATTAGTACTTTTACAAAAACAAAATTTTCATATATGTACGGCTTGATAATAAATTCGTTGAAAAGAGATCCCTTCGCAGAACTTCGTGTTTAAATGGGAATTATCTGTCAGTTAATAGGGGTGTTTTATTCTCTTTGGCAATTTCATTATTGCTTCAGTTAATTACACTTCCGTGTTTTGATTTTGTGTTGTCGGAAAAACGGCCCGATACGTATTCGCTTCGTCATTTCACATTTAAAAACGGTGCATCAGCCGTCAGTAACCTTAAGACTAATCAGGATTATATAGCAAATGCCAGATGCGCTTGAAGAATGAGATCATATTTGTATATCGCCTTGTAATCATAAACTGTGCTGACCAACCCTATAAATTCATCACATTTCTTTTCCAAGATTGGTTTCTTCACTTTTTGCAAAAGCCTGATATCGATGTGTAGTTTCTGCAATATTTTCATACTTTTAGTCCCCTGATTTAAGCCTACAGCATGTCCGTCGCTAATCTGACTTATTTCTGCACATTGTCTAATCACTAAGTCTTCTATATTTTCTTAACCATCCAAATTAATGATATGTAACATTTGATTCAAACAACCTGGGCTGCTTCAGATAAGCACAATCCGTATTTTTAGAAAGATATCGGCCTCGTAGTAGCCGTGGATCATGAGCATTTAAACGTTGGTTTTCGAGTCACAAAAAACCATCTTTCGTTGTAATGTGACAAGGTAAAAGCATATTACCTATAGTTATTTGTTTACCATTACACTGAAGTCTGAATATTCACATAATTTCTCGTAATAACATTGAGACAAGAACGACTAGGACCAGCTATAGGATATCTATAACTAGTACATTTTAATTACCTTATTTAGGTGTCGGTAACTACAATAAATTAAGGTTGGCTGCGATTCTAAGATTACTCGGTTATTGATCACTTCTCAAGAACTCAAACGGTAAGAAGGGCCCGGGTTTAAAATACACGATCTCCAAAACTATTCAGGATTAGCCGAGGTCACCCAAAACTGTACCAAATGACTTAAAGGAAAAAGTACGTCTTTTCCAATTTCACTCCTTCAGCTTCTTCGGAATATACTGAAACTAAGTCATGTTATTCCCTAAACTAAATATAACATTATGAACTGTTTAATGACCAGTCCAAGGACGGATGGGTCTTTCGTCATTAAAAACCATAGGTCGCTACATCGAATTACTGTATCCTATAACATGCAATCGGATACACGCCTGCAGTTACGAAATACCTTATGGATTTTTCCTTGTTAGCAGCGGACTGTTTCATGCATTATATAACAGACTGGAACTTTACTTATTGAGCAATTAAAGGATCTGGAAGCGATGTTTCCTGGTTGTATGAGATTTGTATAATTTACCTACTTTTTCCATAATTCTAAATCCTTCAGAACTCTTATTACACCAATCTATTAGTTTTTAATCGTAACTTTGATGCCTAGTGTTTTCTATAACGACTAGTACTTTTATTACTTACACTACCTTGGGATTTGCCCTAACAACTTGAACCGATATATATATCAGGTTCTACGTTGCGTTTGACTGACTCCCTTTTGGGATTTATTTTAGATGAATACTAAGACACAGTTAAATTTTTCAAAAAAAAAACGCACTAAGGTTCATATATTCTCAGAAACGCAAGTAAGAATTACAATCAGAATGGTGTTGAACTTAATGAACGCATCAACAATTAGAAAGTCAATGTGACGAAGCCCATTTGATCACAATATGTTTGCGTAACTTTTTTGGCTGAAACACCTAGAGAATACGTTTGTCCAGTGATGGTCAACCGTAAAGGACAGTAATTTGATACTGGTCATATTTCTATCAAACTATGACCGGATAAACCATGTTCTATATAATCCCAAGCAACTAAAAAATTTACTATTCGGCAAGAACAATTGGTGCGTTGATCGTACATCAACAAATCGAAGACAGTACTAATAACAACTGATTCGACATAAGCCTGAAGTATTCCTTTAATGAAGTATAGACCTTTAACCATAGTGTATTTAATAGAAATGAACAAACATTCTAGTGTCAAAACAAGCTATCATAATATACGACACAAATATAGACAATGACGAAACGGAGTAAACGTATTGCGAAGTACGTAAAACAAAGATTCAAAAAACAATGTGGGAGCAGTGGCACTCATGGTAACTTTTACGCTAAGCAATATCATTGTCTGAAAAAGTATTATTAGTATTATTTGGAGACACAACTGTTACATGATTTTAAGCGAATTTCTTTAATTCCCACTTAAAAAGCGAAAAAACAAGAATATGATACCGTTAAATACATTTTTTTGATGACTATCAACATGATAACGCCAATATGAAAATTGAGAAGATAAAATCAAACTTTTGAATAAAGGTGGGCTGGGAGAGCCCGGATAGTGTTCAAGATTATTTCCTGACCGACAGCTGTCAGCATTACATGCAATATGGTAGGAAAAACAACATATTTCAAACAGCAGATTTACTAAAGCTGATCCGTAAGTGAGAATTTTCTGTCAACTGGCTGTTGTGCAATTCCTGTTACGAAAAATGAAGTTGTAATTAGAGTGAACTTACGATAAGAGACTGAATAGCCAAGTCAACTGTTTCCAACTGCACGAGCGCCATTTTGTTATCCTTCCTATAAAAAATTATCGTAAACATCTTAAGAAAATGTATAATTACATAAACCGAAACCCAGTAACTTCGAATCCTTTAGTTGCAAATAACACACGTATGTCGTTTTCCGTTACCGAAGGAGGGATGTTACTCAAATGCAGAACGTGACTTGGAGGGTAAATATTTTGAAAATTTTTTGAATTGGGCTTTCGAAAACGATGCAACAGACTGTTAGTATAATCTTTGGTCAAACCATTTTCAGTATCCTCTTTCGGTAGCTGAACAATATTATGTCGAGACACTGCAATTTTCATCGGTTTGTCCCAGAGGCGCTGGCCATTGAGAAACTGTAAAGCTATGGGATTTATTACCATCAGAATGTTGACAAAATTACCTGTAAGAGCCTGATGAGGATCGGTAAACTGAATCAGGGCTGTGTCTTTCTTATTGAACATAATTTTCACGCGAGTGACATCTCCATATACACCTGTAAACAAAAATTGTTTAGCATGTAAATAATATTGTGGTCCTGATAATGCATTTGCCGTTGAAGAAACATTATCATCTATCCACCAACATGTTTGAAATAAACTTTAGGTAGGAAGTTTCAGAATAGGAGACAAAGCACAATAAGACAGTCAGAAACGTTTGGGTTTCTTGTGTCCAAATTATAGGCTGCACTCGAGCTACTCTTGGGGTTGCTGTATAAAAGCGTAAAATTAGAATTATAAACAGCCATACCGCTTTGACCGGGCTGAATGGTTTAAGTGGAGTCGAATTTAATGAGCTTTAGTAGATAAATTTTGTCTAATACCTAGAGGACAGTACCACTTCAAATTAGAGGACAAAATGAATAACAAGGAACAATATACAATAAATGTTTAGTCATCACATAGGTAAAAATGCATTTTAGAGTGCTCACTTCAAAAAGTGTAACCGCTTGGTCATATGTATAAACTGTCTAATTATACTCAATAGAACAATACTGGGAATCAATGACTGCAGATATTCATGCACTAGACTTAAGACTAATTTTCGAGTCATTATAGTCCTGTCTTTCTGTAAGACAGTCGACCAAGGCGGGATTTTAACTAGTTATTTAAACATTAAGCTCTTGAATAAATGGTCTTAACTATAAAGTTTGACAGTATTACTATAGATGTTAACGAGATAAGATTGGTAAACTTCACTTCTAAGGTGAAACCGAAAAAACCTGAGTAAATATTAAGAACCATTCTTCATGAAGTGAATGTCAAGTGTGATAAGAAAGTTACTACGATAGCATACCTTTAACAATCTGAAAATCAATGCTTAAGGCAGTTAGTCACAAGCTTTAAGTGATTGACTGAAATCTTACAAGACAAAGTCGACTGAAAATAAGTATTAGTTAATGATACATTTACATTACTAACCTACTAGGAAATATGGGTAGAGTCATGAAAATGAACAAAGAAAAACCAGTCGTGCTGCTGTCAAGACAATATAAGGAATAAAAACAGAACTAATACAGAACAAGAGAATAAGTAATGTTTATAGACAAGAAAATCTGTGATGGGTAACGGTAGAACAAGAAAAGACATAAACCTACCAAAAAGTGTAAAAAGAGCATCCGGATAAACCCTCTTAACGAAGATGAAGGTTAAAATAATGAATCCGAATTTAATATCACGTGCAGTCGCACAACAGATGCAAGTGTGCAACAAGATTGAACAAGAACAGCGAAATACGAAGAAAAACGGCCGATTTGACAGCAGAGATGGGTAATCATAATCGTATAGCCAATCAACGGATAAAGACCCAAGGTTGAGAGCAGATGGTGTGGTTTCAAGAAAACATGAAACGAAAAACAGAATATTAAATTAGACGTCATGTTTTTTGAGCAAACCCATAATTTCGACATTCCAAAGTCAATACTTACATCTTCGTTCAGATTTGATACAATCAGGACAGTGCTTCCATTATTATTGGGAGGGGGGCGAACTCCAACAGGCGTCACGTGAGAAGAGACAGGTGTTTGCACAGATCCCATAACACTTGCGTTACCGCCAGACATATGGGGGAGCACCCCAGTTTGAACAGCACCACCCTGAAGTGCTGCTAGTATAGTAGACAGATTAGGAGTTCCTGACACAGATTGAGAACCAGGACCGCTATTTTGTGATGTAAGAGCCATGAAACTTGCAGTAGCAGCTACTGCTGCAGGAGTAAGAGCCAAACCTGACTGCTGAGCTAGTGCTGCTAACTGAGCAGTTAGTTCGTTAATCCCCATATTGTTCGTATTTGGAGGTGCAATCATCCCAACCGGGAGATGAATACCTTGGTGTGCCATATTCGGTACGACTGAATTTTGGAAATTTGAAGAAACATGACCAGGATTGTTGCTATGATGTCTTTCACTCCCAGCTGTGGGTCTTCGAAGGGACATTAACTCTTCTTCAGTTAGTGGATTATTGAGATAATCTCTGCATTTATCACTCTCTTGACGAACTTCCAATGGACCACGATTTTTCGAAAATTGCACACGCAGGGAACAGCATCCAGTGTATATATTTTGGCCGTTTAGATGCTAAAGCTTTTAAATGAAAGTGAAGATACTTACTAGCATTGCAACAAATGCATGAATATGATTACCAAACTCGACTAATCCATGATACTGATTGTTTTTCAAATAGGTAACAATCCTTAGTATTTTTCCATATCGGTAAAATATCTGGGGAAATAATAGTAATAATATACATTACCTTGTGTAGAATAGTATGGTTGATCTGCTGTCCCATTATGTTATCAACGACGACACGCAGAACTGTAGTAGGCATACCAGAATTTGCGCCGCTGAGATCCTGTTGAACGATGCAATTTGCGTTCTGAATTGCATTGCCTATGCTACTGTTTTCCGAATGTAATTCAAGATGTTGATGTTTAGAATATTGCATGACCAGAGTGCGTCCTCTTAGCGTAACTTGGTATTCGCGATAGTACGAAACCATCATGATCGCACTCTCTAGGCATTGCATTTCCAACAGAGCCTGCCGAATGGAATACTGAATTTCAAAATACTTACTTGGTTAGCTTTTTTAGAAAGCACCATGTTTTCTAGCAAACCGAACGGGATGCCGAGAAGAGCGATTTCATGTTCTGTAGCATCGTCTGGCATGTTACGAATATGAACAACTTTTGATGGGACAGTTTCGACATATTCAATTCTTGACTGAAAATTTACAGGCTAGGAAAATAGTAATGTTACCTTTTTGTTTTCGTTAGTATCAGTTTCCATTGGAGCATGACCATTTCCGTTCATTATAAATCCATTAGCTTCATCACGCTGTTACACAGGTCGATTTATAAAGTTATTCAAGTGGGTAGTACAAAGAATACAACTCACTAAGAAACAGGATTTCCCTAATCTTAAAAGCCTTGTTATACTGTGCAGTAGATGCATTCAATTGTAAGTATTGTTAAAGTATTTTTATATTTCTGGACCTTATAACATGAAGACTTTAAGATAGACTGGTTATATCTTACATATTCGCTATGTAAAAGGACTAGCCCTAGGGCCTCATATCATTGATTTCCCATGAGACAGTGATGTCTTGTAAGTGAAAAAGCGGAATCCATAGGGAGTGTACTAGTCGATAATTTTCGATTGAGTCTCTAAACAGATTACATCGACAAATTGCAGTGACGACCACTAAGCTGTAGTTACCATTCCTAGAGTTCTTATGGAGAACTAAATGAAGCTAGTATACAAGCCTGCTTGCACACCAAATATAGTCTTTAAACGTGATTGTACGATCCCATCAATAATTTCCAGTTGTGACTTTATGTAAGGGATCTATTCCATTGAGATTTTTTGTTTATATTGTGTAACATATCTACAGTGATACTAATACGGGAACTGAGTATTTCTGAAGATAGTTAAGTAATATTGGTAAGCTAAAAAACGCCATGCATTAACTTTTTATACTTGTATGGAGCAATTAAAACCCTCAGTATGCAAACCTATAAGCCAGAGATCTGAATTCCTTTCCACCGAAAAGCATAATTAGCCTGAACACAATACGAACCAAAACCGAGTAAACATAATTGTTACAATCTCCATCATATTTTGTAATAGTCTTAACAATATAGAAACTAGTATATCAGCCATCTACTTTGTAGCAAGTTTACAACAATCAGGTAGAAAACCATGTTACGCCTTGTTTCACACTCATCACTTTATTCACTGTCGATATACATTTAACTCTGAAACTACCGTCTCGCGTAATTATTAAACAGTCTCTTTTAAACTCTAAAACGCAAAGGGGAACCAATTCAGAGAAATTAACCTACTGAATGACATTTACTGAATACCATCAACATGTTGAATAATCACAAGTTACAGCACATAACTTGTTCCATAAATCTCTCTACATAAGTGACATTTTTGATGGTGAAAATCAACCTGTATGAAAATGCTACTCTAGTCAAACAAGACTAATTGAACGGAAATAGACTACAAGAAGAAACAAGTCAGCGATAGAAGCTTACCAGTTGCGATACAGAATTCAAGGAACTGGGATGTTGAGAACAGACCCATCATCCTGGTATGAAGGACTTAAGAGTGATCTTAACTTGTCCCACCTTCATGTCACCAAACGAAGTTACTAAGAGACTAAGACGACCCGTTTCCCCAGACTCATGTTGATTATGCAATCAACAGTTCATAATGTGTCAGATGGGTTTATGCATTAATACCATGTCCCTTATAGTCGGCACTTTCGTTGACTTATCTGACCGAATACAATTATGCAACAACTTAGAAACGATTGTCTTTCCGAATGGCATAGGTAAATAAAGTCCGGTCACAAGGATGCGAAATACTTAGGACATGCCACACACAAACACATTCTGACTCATTCAATTGATACAAAGTTTGTGAAATCCAATATCATATGTCTTAGCAGTAATATATTCGACACTTGGTAGCATGAATATAGTTATTTAAATTCCACGGAACAGTATAAGGGCAGTAGACATCATCAACCAACTTTACTAGCTTCAGTAATATAAAGCAAGGTAGTCAACCTGCAAAAATAACTCAAATTGCTGAAAAATAATGTACATGAAGATAAAATCGTCTTAATGCTCCCATGTAGATGTAAATAAACAATAACAAATAATTATATTAGTATTAACTCACCTTGCGTTTACTTGACTAAAAATAAAAAACGTAAATTGTCTTAAGTTACTGACTTATGCAATACAGGTTTCTTTCGTTTTAAAAATAACACAAAACATCAAAACTAGGAAACCATGTACAACATACCATCAGAGCCGTATAGGCGCTTGTAGACATGGCTGTCATTCGAAAGTGGACCAGCCATTGAAACCTTGTTTGATTAATGTGAATTATACTAACCACACCCTTTATACGTAGGTGTGGATTTTTTTCACTATATGATATGATAAAATAAGAATATTATTTTGTTCGGGAAGACGTTTTTCTTGGCGATGATTTCAATAGTTGATCCACAGTCTACTGTATTTTAGATTATATCATAACAAAGTTCGGCCATGATGAAGCCAGGTAAATCGTCTATTGAAAAGGACTACTTTGCTCTGCAGTAGACTTTCGTTCCGAAATACGACGCTCTCTTAAGCACTTATATTTTCGTAGGAGAGATGTTTCTACACATCAGCCAGAATGACCCCATGTGGGATTCCAAAAAATGGACATATCAGACTGTTAAATTATCAGTGTGGAGTTCTTTAACTTAATCCTTCCTCAGCGATAGTCATCTAACTAGATACAGGAATGTTTACATGATTACATTTTCTTGTTAGACGAAGAATCCTGTACGGAAAAAGATATCACTAGATAGTAATACCGAAACCACCACCTTGTGTGTGTAAACCGGTGTAGTTTCACCCCAAACCTATAGCAAACTAACTAAACGAGTTTAAAATGTTCTATTATTCAATCACGAAAATATAAGCGAGCTTTTTGAATCCGTTTCAGAAAATCAGATTCTAACTTCAAGGGAAGGCTCTCTGTTTTGTGCTCATACTCTAAAAAGATCCTAAATATTCTGCCACCCATTCAAACTAGGGCTTCACGACGAAACAAAGAACTAGGAAGCCTAATCAGCTGCTTCTATGTAGTTAGCTATAATTCCAAGAATATGTATTGTCATTGTGGTTAAAAACGGCTAGTCATAAGTTCTTATGGCGTATAAAGTTATACATTGTAGTTCTCTCATTGCCTAACTTTTGATCTCATTCTTCAGGAATGTATATTTTAAGCTTTCTTGTGTCTGGTTGGGAGTTTTCTTCACACTGCCAATGTGAGTAGCTTCGTACTCGCTTCATATTTCATCTGTGCTTGAAGTAAGCTCCTCCATCAAATCTTGTGTTTAATTTCCTAATACTAGACTGAAAATAAAAGTTAGTTTGGTAGTATCTTAAAACAAAGAGAATACACGAATCTGATTAGAAGGCATTTTTCTTGTATTCAGATTAGCAAGAGATAATTCTTGCTAAAACGTAAGTTTACAATTCTAGCTAGGTTGTGTACCTTTGCAAGGTTCATAAAAACACCTAAGTTATTTTTATAAGGTAGTATGTTGACCATTGATCTCCAGATAAAACAATTATTTACTACCTCTTGTAACTGATAAATATTTTGATAATTTATTTAACTTTGAACCGAGCCTCTTCCTGGGGGTTTTAAATTGTTGGTACGATCAGCCCTAATTGTCGCGAGGAAGCCTATGTTGTTAGGGAAAACTGGGTGTTTGTCAATCTGGTGACTTCTTCTAGTTTTGCTAGCCTGGGTAATGAGGATATCGTTCTAATCCTTCAACATCTTTAGCTGGTTCCTTGAAACATTAGGCTGTATCACTCTTTGCAGATTCGAGAACATCAATACTAATGATTTGGTTAAGTAATCGATACTGAGGCCTGTAAAAGTGGTGTAGCAGTAAATAAATCCCCAAAATAAATAGCTCTGTAAGTTTTCGACATTGGATACTGACCACATTAGTTTTCATGGACTCATCTAGTTGAAGGCGCTCGGTTATGCATCCGCATCAGATCACGTGTGGGAACGCCGTGCTCAACATCTACTGCAATCGCTAGCCAGTTTAGTTCAAACGATCCCCGATATATTGATAGCTCATCAAATTTATCTTCGATCTCCTCGCTTCTGTCTTTTGATTTCACTTGGTGGGTAGGCTTCATAATAGGAGGTGTTACTGGTTGAAGCGTAGTCAAACTCCGAATACCTGTGACATCTTCAGTGGCTTATCTCTTAATGTTCTGGAGATCAATCACCAGAAAACGTTTCTCTCTATTTCAACAGATTTACTATATAATAATTATTTATAATAATGTTTTTCAGTATCTAGAAAGAACTCTATCACCAATTCCACCGTTTTGAGAGATTTTTTACGGTGAAAGAATGATCGTTTACCTTTGCCAAAGAAATGTCTTTTCCATATACAAGTAACAGCCAATTCGAGTAACACTGTCAGTTTTGAGTCCGATCAACTGTTGCAGGAGAACTGAAGAAATATTTGACCAATCAAGAACTGTCATACTAGACAAATATTGAGCACTAACAATTTCACTATTTTGTTTTAGACTTAAATTTTCGGTTTCACCCTATGTGGTTTTGTACTTCGGAAGCTTTTGCTCCGGAAACCTAAAAATGGAGGGTTTTTATTACGATTGTTCTGATTATTATAAAACGATATACCTGGGTTGGTTACCTGTAATTTACTAATAAACGTTTTTATCTGAACTGAAAAGTGGTTCTATTGTTATTTGGGGTCGTGAGATACGAGTTGATCAATTCGCCGTGCTTCAATAACGGACCGAAGCAAATCTTGGATTTAGCAATAAACCAAGCGTGGACTTATATTTTTCCCATAATTTCCTAATTTCACTTCACAGAGCGGGACAAAGTGAACAAATTTCAAAGTTCCTACTTTTGTTAAAAATGTTCTTACATTTGTCTTGTTAATTACTAGTGACAAATGTTGGACTCAGTAGCTAAGTGGAGAAGGCGATGGCGTTTGAAGCGGACGGTACTGGGTTTGAGTCCCAAAGTGAATATCAACTCTCAGATGCAGGTTCATCCAGCTGACGAGTCCCAAATAGGACGAAACGCGCGTCCTGGATTCCACTGCTAGCCACTATCCATCTTTGCTTGCCCCCGAATGCCCTGGTACGGCCGAGAGTGGGGAGAGTCCGCCCTCCCTCTCGAAATGCTCTCACATGGCCACGCGTACATAGCTCCTGCCACGGAAGTCCTACTCACTGCCTTCTCGTGGCGGGGGTGTTGTTTACAAAAATGAGAGGAGGAAAAGCGAATGTGCTGCGCTTTAACCGGACCCCAAACCAATGGTGCACATGGGCTCCAGTATCCTGCGGGGACAAATGGTGTATGAACCAATCGTTGATCACCGGCTACCATGGGACTGCATCCCCTCACGATGCTCCACTGCCTTGCGGATCAGACGTTTAGGTCAAAGGCTCGGGTTGTGGCCCCCTAAGAAAACCACCTGCTTCGGTTTGGGCACCCGGACAGTATCACAGCCCTCACACAAATCAATTGAGATTCGTGTGGCGCATATGTACTTGGTGCCTCCTTGTACCAATACGTATGTGTTAAAATAAATAAATAAAAGGATTTATATTTTTCCCATAATTTTCTACTTTCACTTCACAGAGCGGGACAAAGTGAACAAATTTCAAAGTTCCTACTTTTGTTAAAGATGTTCTTACATTTGTCTTGTTAATTACTACTGACAAATATTGGGCACACCCAGTTATACCCGTGAAGTAGATGGAAATATGTTGGTTTTCGAAGGACTCAACTTCTTCAGAGTAGCCCAACTTGACTTCCCAACCTGTAGATTTAGTACAAATGTATATGGTGGAGGTGCACAGACGCTAGTAGTAACGCTGAGATAATTTGAGGGGAGGTTGGCTTCATTGACAGTATTAATAACAAATTGTCCCTGTTCAAATATTTCACATAAGGCAGATTTATGTGGCAGTTGTGTTTGCTTCTAAATCACAGGTCTTATTCAAGATCACACAGTAAGAAGTTGATATTTAATCTACCTCCCTGAAAAGAGCGTAAGCGACCTTAATAAATATTGACGGTGGGAGGGTAATCTCTATGGAGATGAAGGGTCATCTCGTGACTGATTGGAGATTTTGAACTGCCAAATATGACAGTTAAACACAAAGACTGACTTCTGATGCCAATATTGTATTCTGTTCAACTCAGCGTAATCTTTTGTCAGAATTTGACTACGATACATCTACTTTTGTAGAATTCCGTAATTCTTTCCTGGTGATAAGTTTGACTACAGAAAACAGGAGGCGATAAAATAGTAGGAATTCGTTTACTTCGAAGTTCCTCCTTAGTCGCTTAAAAGTCAGAAGAAATAATAACAACTGAAAAACAATCAGCACATTTTATTCATATCAAAGATCTGTAAAAAACACCACGAAAGAAATATGAAGAAATAATAACAACTGAAAAACAATCAGCACATTTTATTGATATCAAAGATCTGTAAAAAACACCATGAAAGAAATATGAAGTGGTTAGGAAAAAAACTTTGAAAGTTCCTTGCTGAAAATTTAAATCAGAGATCATGTTTGAGTGATCAGAGGAAAAAAACGGTTGAAACTTGAGAAATAATGAAGCAGCAAAGGAAAAACGGATAACTGAGAGCATGAAAAGGGATATATTGCTGCCGCTTAGAAAAAGTGAACAAATAAAGATCAGAGTGCGGAATTTACAATGTTAATCTTTCAGATATATAGGTTAGGTGTCAAACCCATAGAACCTGAACTTAGGTGATCTGTTTCGAATGATTAGAAGCCTACTCGAGTTAGACGGGAATGATGTGACCAACCAGTTGATGTCAAAAACGCACTTTGTGGTCAGCACCTAACGTGGATTACCCTTTCGTCATATCAAGGTACTATGGCTGCTTCAAAGTCCGTATAACACCAAGGACGTTACTACGGGAATATATCAGTAAGAGTAGGTACAAATTAGAAATCGCGACAAATGCTGCATGGACCAGTCCATTGCATGCGATTGCTTGATGCGCGTTGGTCGTACTCGAACGTGACAAGGATCATTGCACTGTCCGACATTCAGTGACCCGATTGCCGGATGCTTTGCCTAGGACCCAGTGACATTGTACTGGCCCTACGAATCTTTATTTGCAGTAACCTCGGTTTGATAATCTCGGTTACTATCGTATCTAATGCATTTAAGAACCAATGTTGATGCTTGGAATGCGCTTCTGAAACTTATTTTTTACTTCAGAATACCAAGTAAATCAGCGATTTCACAAAGCGCCAATATGTGGTAGGTAATCACATACCACATCTGCTCGTCAAGTTAAATCTCAAAGAAGATCTATAAGCAATCGTTAGTGGTGAACAGTACTGATACTTTTCACCATTGCTTCTCTTTTTACCCTACCCCCACTCACAAAGTAAAAGGCTCTATAAGTATGAAAGAACAAGCATAGTGAATCCGATTTCTGATTGAGTGAACGGACGTCAATATATTCATTGATACATTCCGGCGGAAATACAAGTAGAGTCGTTGGAATCCTCTGGGAGAACGCTAACTTCTGCTCCAGTATCGACGAGGTAGCGAACTCTGGTTATCACACCTGTGACGTATGACAGACGGCTATGTTCGCCAGCTACGGTTGCTGTTAACGAGTGCCGGCTCGGAAGTTTCCCGAACCGTCTACCTGACTAGATTTTTTGTGCCAGATATTCTTTACCTCACTCTTCCAGTTGTCTTCTCTTTGTCCCGATTTTACAATTTTCCATACTAATCTCCTGCCTGGCAAAATGATAGCTCCTGGCCCTAGCAGTCTTCGTGGCCTAGAATAGATGCACTAATTTATAACCAAGTAACATCAGTCACAAGTTTGTTGCTATATTCACTAGAATCAGTGCTGCTGGAGAATCCCTGACTGATTTCCACTAATATTACTAGATCGATTTAGTAATCGTAAGACCTGGTTAAATATGCTGTGAATATTCGCTCAATGTAAACGGTCCGTAATATGAGAATGAGATTAAACAGAAGACCGTTAATTCTTGGTAGATTGAGATTGGAGGAAACCGAAATGGCGAAGCAGGATATAATTATATTCGTCCAAATGATCTCATTCGCCATAGAGATGGAAACATCAAGGCAAATACGGTATAAAGACGAGCACGGTAATACATATGAACCACAAGAAAGACCGAGTAGAGTAGGTGGATTTGTTTCGAATAAGGAAATGACACTCCATCTAATGTCTGCTGGTAAGAAAATAAGAAGTAGCATTGCGCGTAGAAGCCCAACAAAGGACCTTCATCCCTTCGTAATAGATAACGTCATTCGAGTAGGGGGACGACTTCAAATATCGTCCTCGCCCTTCGAAAGCAAACATCCGCTTATACTTCCTAGTAATCATTTTGTTACCGAATTGACCGTAATGTACTAACATCGCCAGAACGCGTATTCTGGTATTACACCCTGAACAGTCTTCGCAAAGAGTTCTGGGTCATTAAGGCTCAAGCTGCTATCCAGAGAGTCCTGAAACGTTGCTTCCCATGCAAGAGACTCAACAGTATACCGTGCACGCAAATTATAGCTCCACTACCCAAATGTCGCCTGGAAACTTACGTACCACCACTCAATTCTGTTGGTTAAGACCATTTTACGTTAAGAGGTGGCAAGTTGTTGAAAAATGATACGGCTGTTTGTCCACTTGCCTGTCTACTAGAGCAGTTCATACTGGAATGGCGCACGCCTTTAATACTGACTCATTTTTATGTGCTCTCTCGAGATTCGTTGCTAGGTGGGGCCACACAAACTGTGTTTGGCGGCGACAGTTCAAACTTCAAAGGAGCCGAGGCCAGTCCTAGATTGTGCGTAGTTGGGATCAGAATAAGATAGCAAATTACCTTTTAGAAAGAGGTTGTGAACGGCACTTTAACCCTTCGAGATCTAATTATTAAGGTGGTTTATGGGAACACACCATAAAGTCAATAAGAATTCCACGATCACTACTGTTTCAGAAGGCGTTGACGGATGAATCTTTAGACTTTTTTAATAGAGGCTGAAGGAATACTGAACATTCAGCCACTCGCAAAGCTAGTTAATGACTGTGATAATTTGTGTGTACTTACACCAAATAAGTTATTGTTAGTTTACAGAGGTGTATCATTCGACGAAGTGCAGATAAGTAGAACGTGCCCACATAACAGATGGAAGGAAGCGCAACAACTATCCAACCTATTCTGGAACAGAGGGTTACGGAAGTACCTACCAACCCTTCAGGCGAGAGCCAAGTAGTTGGGCATAAGGAATCTACAACCGGGAGACGTAGTGTTAGTGAACAATAATGGCTCACTGAGAAATCTGTGGCCGAAAGCTGAAGTTAGACAGGCCATTTATGGTTCAGATGGACGAGTCAGGACAGTTTAAATGAAGTCAACAACCAAAGAGATCAGCTGCGACATGCGGAACCTGTACCTACTGGGAGAGGCCGATTGAGTGTGACGGTAACGAAGCCTGGACGTGGTGTAGCTTGGGGGGATGTCAGCTATATCTAGAACTAACCAACCAAATTGTTGTTTAGGCGCCCACCACGTTGATTTGGTCTGATGTGTTTGCAAACTATCCCTACTGCATGTGACCTACCAATTGAAAGACATCCCTATTCTATTATATTGGTGTGACTCATAATTTTATTCATTTCGATAAGACATGCAATACTGATCGGTATGTTTGTGCGTTTCACTTAATAACCGTAATTTCCTTAACTATTGTACTAATCTAATTGTTTTTACGTTTAGAAACAGATAAAGTTCAAAACCAAGTTGTCTTTGCCCTGACTATGGTTTCCACATAGACTCTGTGATTGCCAGTATAGCGCCTACGGTCCTAATAGTATATATGTAGAACAAATTAAATCCTGCATGTATGTTTAGTGCCCTCTTGTGCCAATATTTATATGTTCAAATAAATAAATAAGATTTAAATTTGTCAACTGAATTATGATAAAGAAGTCACTAAAAGAAATTTCGATCTGATATTATTACTGAAAGTGCACAACTATGTGTGATGTCATTATGAAAAGGTTAACGATTGACCGCTGATAAAAGGTGTATACTAATCAAATATGTAAAAGTTCGACCACTTTAACTGCAACAAATCAACCACACGTGACTCTATTAAGGGTTTCTATTATTCTAGGTGCAATGTCTTAAATCCGAATTTTGGAACAGTTAAGAGTTACAGAAATATATTACAAGTTTTTTGTAACAAAGTAACAATCGTAAACTAGAAATAAACGAAAATAAGTGTAAAAATGTATGTACAAGCAAAATGTAAGTTACATATAATCAATGTTATGAAAGTATTTTTCATACTGTACAATCAGTGAGTAATTCTTTCAAAATTGATGAACATAGATTGTGACCTAAAGTGAAAAGATTATCTAACCTCGAATATTCTTGACATACCAATGAATATTAATCGTGTTCCGTCTAGGTTAAGCAATTCAGCTCTTTCATTAGGTATTGGGGAAAGATCATAAATTTCGTTCAATCCCTGTAGACTGTAAGTACAATCATCATCTATGAAGTGAATAAATCCCTTTAAAAAAAGAGAAGACTCATTATGAATATTGTAAACAATTTTGTCTACTAATAAAATTATATTAACATACACTATAAAAGACACTTTTAAACTATCGCTTCCTTAAAGATTAAGACGTTCCCTTAACGTTTTAAATAGAAAAGAGATGTATAGTGTTGATGATGATAGTCGCACGAAAGTAAGGCATCGAGTGTATATATTGCATAAAACACGTCGAAAACTAAATTTTATTTCTAAGGATCGCAGAGATTGATGGAAAGTAACTGTGGAGTCCCACTTAGTAGTCTGGTCTAAAATTTTCTATGTAGTAAATCAAAACTATGAAATATATTTAAGATCTCAAAACGACCATGCACTAGACAATTATTGAACAATATTCAAATGTTGAATATGGTTATTCCAGTAATTTGATGTTAAATGCTTTAAAGCTGTAGTATATGTAGATTTTATTAGAATAAGGTATCCATAGACTATGATCGGGATAAAACTAGTTATTCTGATAAAAATCTGAAAGTCGGACTTCTTAAACTATTTACAGAATGAGAGATAAACGCCTAATTGCATAGATGCTGTGTTATTACTTTGATAGAAAGGGTGTCAAATGCAAATGTAAACATAATAATTACCTAAACAATTGAATATACATCCTTGTTGATGTCCACAATGCATAATTTATAAACTGTGAATGTAATGGTAGTAAATAAACTTTTATCTCCATTTATTAGTCATTAGTTGTCATTGTTTCGATAGGTATACATAATCCAGTCTACAAGAACTATTATCGGGTTGGTTTATATGCATGTGGCTTCCACTATCAGTCATTGTTTATAAGACGAAAATCCTTCCTTGAAGTATTTTTGGTTTTTTAAATCTTTTTGTCTCTAGTTCCCACTGAATGTCATGCTATCTTAAGGTGTTCTGGGGATTTAGGAATGCTTCAAGCATTGTTCTTTCACCCTCATCCTCACCTTTATATACGCCAATAGTCAGTATATGTGATTTCGTAGTCACGATTTGTCTCCCCTACCTTCAGTATTGCACACTTAACTTTCCTTGATACAGAGGGAAGAATAACAGTGGACACATTCGTGCTATAGTGGTAGATTTTAAGGAAAGTCACATAACACATTAAATAACTCATTCTTACATCGAGAAACCTTCACTATTTAAAATGCTTAATAGTAATTTTGAAGAGAACATTACCTTTAGGCGTAGAACATTCATTGGATTTCCGCTCTCATCGCGAACACTGTGCTCCCAAAGCATTGACTCGATAACATTTTCAAATAATTTACGACTAAATGGACGAGAAAACTCAAAGGTCAGTGTTGATATTCGCTGAAAGTACGACATATTAGACTTTTTTGATTGAACATACTCTATTCAAATGAATTGATACTGATTTGGAAGACGGAACAAAAGCTTCCAGTTTAGGACTGCAATAAAAAAATTTATAATAATACGAAACTTGAATTAAAAACGATCATAAAAATGTAGTTTCTAAATACGAGCAAGCCGTTTCTATTCGAAATCGAAGTATACATATTATCAAGAAGTGAATGATATTTTGAAACAATATCAAGTTGATATGATAATACCGCAATAGCTTAAGGATTAAAGTTATGTAAAGAACGTTATCATATTATTAATGACTTGGTGTGCATATAAATACTGGTATCGATTGACCTTTCCATCCTTTCAGTTGAACATCAAATATTGACGTAGGTTCTAATTTTATCCACAGCATCACTTCATATTAATAACGAGAATAAAGTGAAATTTAAGGGTCACGATATATCAGTTACATGGATAACTGGTTCGTCAATTTATGCTTTCAGCACCTGAAAGTTTGGTTCATTTAGCAAACATTGACGCATCTAGCAATATCTCACTGTTTTGAGGTTTACACGATTAGTTGTGCAACACAAATATCAGATTTCACCACTGACCATTAAAAAAATGCAGTGCACAATCACACCTAATATTGAATAATATGTCTCAGTAACCAAATGTAAAACAAAGTGACTTGATGCTCCATTATGAATACATTGGACTTTAACCCACTGAGTTCAACTAAAAAGCTGGAAATCTTAGCCTAAATTGGTACCTTAAATCAATGAACAATTCTCCAAAATGAGACTCAAGCAAAGCAGTTATTTGCTCATTTCTAAACTTCAATGGTATCCTCACATGAATCAAAATGCATTTTATAATTATGAATATTTATGACAGGTTTCTACGACAGATAAACTGTTAGTCATGTACGGAGAAAAAGTTTTGGTAATAAAAAATTTCGCCGTATTATTTTAACTAGAGTTAAACGGCAATGGTTAGTCGCTTAACATTATAAATGCTTAGTGACCCCAAATAACTATACGTGATATGGTCAAAATTATGTAATCCTTTTAATTTGGATGTACCGTCTATGTTTTATTTTCGAGTTAGAAAATGTGTACTCCACAGTGCTTGTAACTCAAGTATGGCAAGGAATCCCCTGATGCGTACATTACTCTAAAATGCGTGCGCCGCTGTGGTTAATATATGGTCAGTACCGTGTCTTAAATAGAGCAGAATATTCAGAAGTACGGTGTATAGTATCCAGAAAATAACACGGAAATCAAATAGTGAACCTGACACGTGATAAGTTGTACGCACATGAACAGAAAATATTGAATACAAATACAACAACATATACAGTATCACGAAAACTACAATATGTATAGTATTTTGTCGAGATCATAAAACTTAGTTTTTCCCCTCATTATACCACTCAGACAATACTAGTTACGTAGTTTCGGAAATAAAAACAAAATAGAAAGAGAAGCACACACAACACAGTATCTTAAAGTCTCACATATGTAAATTAATAGTCATGTTCAAACTACAATCAAAGAAATCAGAGATGAAAAATCTAACCAAACACAGTCAGTCAGTCAGCTGCAACGTAAGACCAGGCATATATATATATATATATATGTCTAAGTTGCCATACCGCATTAGCACAACAAGATGAACACCAAATTCATAGAAGTAGTTAAGTCAATGGTGGTAATATATAAAATAAAGATTGCATATAAAGAGATAGTACAGGAAGAAAGAATTAGTTCGTAGAAAGAAAGATATGAAGCGATTTTAATCTCTTAGTTTAAAGGAAGACAGAGTGTATACACCGACGCCATTGTGACCGATTCTGAGCCATGTCACCAAGAGTCTCCAACCATTGGTTACGATAGTCACGCGGACCCCAACCAAGTAGTCTGCATCTACCAACATGGCTCAGACCAGAAGTTAGTGACTTTAAGCACTGATGCCACGTTTTGGTTTGACCAGCCTTAACTTTCATCTAACCATCCCCAACACTAGTCGACATTGCATGTCGTGGTAATCGGTGTTCACGCATACGCAACACGTGGCCCAACCATCTCAGTCGATCAAGATTTACAACCTCATCAACTAACCAAACACACATGAAACCAACCTGTTAGAATACATCTGAAGATCGAGAATTTCTTCCAAATTCACCCTACAAGTAAACGAATAAAAAATTAGATTCGAACTTCAGAATGAATTCTAGAAGAATAATATTTGAAGAGATGCTATCTTTCGAACATTCACTCTGTTAAAAATCAAAAGTGCGATTGTTAAATCTCATTGAGTATCTGGCACCGACGCACAAAACGATAAATAAAACATCCTAAAACAAAAGAAACAAAACTCTAGGAGGCGCTGACAGAATCACTTTACCAGTCAAAACAATACTTAACACTATGATACGATAGTATCAGTAAAGAGTTTACATTTAGAATACTTCAAGTAACTTTGCATTATCTATTAGATAGTGTCAGCACGTTAAAAATTAACAAAAGCAGCTGTTTTCGATACTCAGATTAGATTTACTAGGTTTAAAATATTCTTAGAGAAATCAACCATCAATATTTGCATTTTCAATATCACTGATGTGAAAGTGGAACTAAGTTCAAAATTTAGGAAATTATGTGCACTATAAATATAAGAAAATGGTAAATATATAGACAGAACGACAGCTAACAGAGTCGATCATTCCTCAAAAAATTTATCACCCCCCCAACAGTTATATAATCATTCCGAGAATCAACGACAAGTTCTAATTTAATTTGTTCTTGTTTGGATCGTCTTGTTGCTGATATTCTGACTGTTATTTTATCAGTTCTATTGAACATATGTGCACCCTCTGCGAATTGTCTCGAAATAGCTATTTTGACACATGTTTACATGGAATAGATGGATGTTGCTAGCAATGGGATCCAAGTCATTACAAATGAGATTAAAATTTATATCCGTTACACAAGCCAGTGGCTAACTGGACTCAGTAGTTAACTAGATAGAGCGTTAGCGTTTGAAATGAAAGATACAAAGGTTGGAGTCCTAGGATGAGCATTAACTCTGGGATGCAGGTAGATTCAACTGACGAGTACCAAATAGAACGAAACCCTCGTCCCGCATACCACCACTAGCCACATTCGATCCATTCTCTATAAAACACAGATTCCGTTAAAATCCCTATTAGACCACGTCATAGATTAAACAAAAGTTTTAGCAAGATAATCCTCTGGCCATTTTATGTTTAAGTAATGACTGAATCAAGACAGACTGGTTGGTACATTTTCCATCAATCAGCACTACTAGACAGCTTGAGATACTACAAGATTCCTGTGTAAATTTCTAGATAAACTCCATTTTGTTTGCACCCGATTCTGGAACTGATTTAGAAATAATTGAATATTGCGTCTAAGAAGAAATCGAAGTGAAATAAAACAGACTGTTGCTACGATTTTTGGTTGTGGAATGGTGGCTTAATGGTTCAAGTACTCACCATTCAACCAGTAAATTGCAAGTCTGACCCTTGCTCCACCTATTTCGTTTTAAGTAACCGGGTAATATCATGAGCCCTGATGCACTTTGAGCTAAATAAAAAGCTTTTGACTAACATTTTTTCAATTAAATAAATTATGCTATTAAAAAACACCTTCGTCAAACTTTTAACTATGTCCCATTATTTTATCAATATATTACTAATCGAAATAATATAAAAAATTAGAAAAGCAAATCAGCATCGACTACCCTGAGGATAGTCCTAAAAAATTACTTATAAGGTGCATAGTGAAAGTTTATTTAGACTTCAACATTCATTATAAGCAAGTCGATGGCGTAGATGTGGGTTTACGTTTAGATCTAACTTTCACCGATTCCTTCATAGCCAATTTAGAAGATGAAATCTTTCAGGAGGTTACTGAGGAAAAAAATTTACATTATGGTATGGCCGACGGTGAGGAGAGTCCATTCTCCCTCTCTAAATGTTCCCACATAGCCATGCATATACAGCCAGTGCCAGGGAAATCCTACTCACTGCATATTACGGCATTACTGTTGTTTACGAAGTTAGGAGGACGAAAATTTATTTATTTATTTGAACACATAAATATTGGTACGAGGGGGCACCAAATATATATGCGCCGAAAAAGGAATGTCCGAAGCTTTAACCGAAGTGCGGTACATATATATTTGATGCCTCCTTGTACCAATATTTATCTGTCGCTTACCAGCATTCTCCATCCAACCCTGTCCTGGACAATTCTTTTCAGTTTTTATTCATCCCTTTCATATCCGCTTCTATTTCTCGACGTACTGTGTTCTCTGGCCTTCCTCTTTTCTGCTTTCCTTCAGGATTCCAAGTTAGCGCTTGCCTCGTAGTGCAGTTTGATGATTTCCTCAGCTGTCCTCCATGCACTACTTTGCACTGTAGCCCATCGTATGAGATGCGGATAATGTTGACAATCTTCTCAGGAACTCCATAGTGTCGAAGAAGTTTCCATAACGTCCTCCTATCTACACAGTCAAATGCCTTCTCATAATCAATGAAGCTGATGTACAGTGACGAGTTCCACTCAATTGATTGTTCGACGATGATCCGTAGTGTCGCAATCTGGTCTGTGCACGACCGGTCCTTACGGAATCCAGCTTGTTGATCTCGAAGTTGAGCGTCTACTGTGTCTTTCATCCTGTTCAGTAACACTCTATTAAAGACTTTTCCTGGTATCGACAGTAGTGTAATGCCTCTGTAATTTTCACACTTGCTCAGATCTCCTTTCTTTGGAATCTTTATGAGGTGTCCTTTTTTATTCCAGTCCATCGGCACATGCTCCTCCTCCCAAATCTTCTTGAATAGAAGATGAAGCATGTTTGTAGTTACTTCGATGTCTGACTTCAGTGCTTCCGCTGGTATATTGTCGGGTCCTGCTGCTTTCCCGCTCTTGATTTGTCTGATGGCCATTCTGATTTCTTCCGTCGTTGGTGGATTGACATCTATAGGAAGATCTGTGTGTGCTGCTTCGATGTCCGGTGGATTCATTGGAACCGGCCTATTCAGGAGTTCCTCGAAGTACTCTGCCCATCTGTTCCGCTGTTGCTGAATCTCAGTGATCGGTCTTCCTTCTTTGTCTTTGACAGGTCTCTCTGGTTTACTGTATTTCCCTGCTAGCTTCTTCGTTGTATCGTAAAGCTGTTTCATATTTCCTTCTCTTGCAGCTTTCTCCGCCGTCGTTACTAGTTCTTCCACATATTTCTGCTTGTCAGCTCTAATGCTCTTCTTCACTTGCTTATTTGCTTCTATGTATTCAGCTTGTGCTTGGACTTTCTCTGCTCGTGTTCCACTGTCGTTAATTGCTGTCTTCTTGTTCTTCCTTTCTTTGATCCTGTCGTGTTTCTATAGAGATTCATTCCTTGTGATGATGCTTTTTGGAGCCCAGAACCTCTTGACACGTTGAAGTTAATGCTTCTTTCATACCTTTCCAGTTATCCTCCATAGTAGTTTCTTCTTCCTTCAGTAGATCCTGTAGGGCTTGGAACCTGTTGTTGAGAGCTATCTTGAATTCATTGAGTTTGCCAGTATCTCGAAGGAAGGCTGTATTGAAACTTTGCAGCGCTGTTTGTCCAGTTCTTCTTTAGCTTCAGTTTTAAATTGGCTACAACCAGGTAGTGATCTGAAGCTATGTCCGCTCCTCTCCTGGTTTTCACATCTTTCATTGTCATTCGGAACTTTTTATTGATGCAAATATGATCTACCTGATTCTCCATGGTGTGGTCCGGTGAGATCCATGTAGCTTTGTGTATACGTTTGTGTGGAAATATTGTGCCGCCCATAACCAATTTGTTGAATGCACACAGATTTACAAATCTTTCCCCATTTTCGTTTCTCTCTCCCAGTTCATGCAGTCCCATGATATCTTCATATCCGATGTTGTCTATTCCGACTTTGGCGTTTAGATCTCCCATCAGAATGGTGAGGTCCTTTCTTGGGCACTTCTCTATGATTGATTGCAGCCGCTCATAGAATCGAACTTTAACGTCGTCGTTGCTATCATTGGTGGGTGCATAACATTGGATAATGTTCCTTGTGATCCCCTCCTTCTTTGTTTTGAATGATGCTTTGATGATTCTGGATCCGTGAGATTCCCATCCTACAAGTGCATTTCGTGCTACTTTGGACAGCATTAGAGCAACCCCCTGCGTGTGTGGAGCATTTTCCTCTTCGTGACAGGGGTATAGCAGCATCTCTCCCGTATTTAGCCCTTGTTGTCCAGCTTGGGTCCAATGGGTTTCGCTGATTCCGAGTACTGCCAAGTTGTATCTCCTCATTTCTGTTGCTATTTGACTGGTCTTCCCGGTCTCCCACATTGTCCGGACGTTCCATGTACCTATAAAAATTGTTGCTCTGGTTGTTAGAAGGGGCATCGGCCTCGTGGCTTCTGAAGGAACTCGGCTTTCACCATGAAGCGTCATATTACATCTATCTCCCAGGGTAGAGTTTAAATGGTTTGAGTTATTTTTCTGGTTAGCGTTTTTTTAGTGAGTTAGTTTTCTACGGGATAGGGACGCTAACCCCATGCCCACCCCTCCTCCTTTACCCGGGCTTGGGACCGGCAGTAACTCTAGGAGAGCTACATGCGGAGTTTTCTCCGATTATTATTATTATTTCACGCTTATAAGCCGATATTTATTAAAATCCTGTCTTTTTATTATACTCACCCTCCTTTCCCTATCTCTTCACAACTTCATTTTCAGTGTGGGGTATATATATGGTGCCCCCTTGTACCAATATTTGTGTCTAAATAAACAAGCAAATAAAGTAGTCTATTTAGATTTCGTTAGATCTTAATCTTATGGAAGTCAACTCTAACAAAGAAGCAAGTTACTTTATGCAACCTCATCACCTAAAACAGATTGCTGTAAGTTAAAAACTACTGAAAATGAATGTTTATCAAGATAATCTTTTAAAAACGAGACTTACTTGCAATAACTAGTTTCAATGAGCCTAGCAGAATTATTGATATCTCTATGGTAAACGAAAATATGGAAATAAAAGCCTTTAGAAACGAAAATGATAAAGAGCTGAACAGAATGCTAAGATTAGTTTTATGGTGGTTATACGTAACCAACGAAATGAGTGAACCAAGATATTGAGTGAGTGGTTGACATAATCTCGCAAGCATTAAGAACAACATAAAACCATAGTAGCTACCGATAGGTGACTAATTAGTGTGGTTTTTGAGCCTCATGACATCTACGAGCAGTAACATATGCTTCCAATGTCAATGACATTGTAATACTTCCAAATATTTCTAACTCGCGGTATGGCGCTGCGATACCATACCGAAGTAAATTCGCATAATTATGGATGTCGTTTATATATTTAGTGAGAGGGATGAGAAGCCGATTTTCTGCATTGACGATCGATCTAAGCATAGCAAAAGCCAGGGTGGCTTATGCCATTCTAAGCCACCTTTGGTCCAGGTGTATCTTTAAATTGACTGTAAAGTCAGGTATACAACTGATCGGCGAGAGCAGAATGTGCAAAACCTACTGCCCTCAAACTGGGGATGCTGTTGAATTTATGTTCAACCAATTTTACTTCAGGAAAACTGCTCACGTCCGATGTCAACATCTTCCATGTAATGCCGGAGTCTGGTGTGTATTTGGTCACTCTGAACATAATTAGTATCGCCATATTGAAAAGCCTACTTCCGTGGCTTATACATATTTTACGAATATTAAATCAACTTAAACAGGGTGTATTGCCTCCCGGAGAATGTAATTGATGGAGAGAAGAGCACAGAAATGGCCTAATTATTACATGGTAATAGGATATGAGCGGCAGCTGTATAGCACTGGCATGTATTGATTTGTGACGACTCCTTAATTTGTATTTGAGAAATCACACAATACTGTGGCTTGAAACACCACCAGATATGGATCAAAACACAAACTAGTGGTGAGCTCATGGCAGTCTTCTATAAAATTCATTATAAACGTAAGACGAACCTTCTTTAGCTGATTAAATTAATCTCCATCGTATTTTTGAATGAACTGTATCTGCAAATATATATTACCCTTGTTTGTTTATTGAATGTCTATGTGACCACCTCCTACCTCTTCATTGTATTCGCATTCTATGTTGTGTGGTGCTGTCTATTAACGTCTAGTTGTACGGATGTTTTTAGTACGATGCATTAAATGTTGGGAAGATTAGTTGTAATTATAATACCGTGTAAATGGAATGCACTATGGGTTGTGTTACCGGGATTTTAAAAATAGAATTGGAAGCGTGGGGAATGGAATTGTTTGGAGAGCCGTAAACAGCTTCAGTAATAAACACGTACGTACTACTTAATGACCTGGAAAACAGTATGAATAAAGCAATCAAAAAGTGACTTACCTAATACGTTGAACCACTTCTGATTTTTCTAAATCAGATATCAAGTCAGTTTTGTTGACAATGAGTACATCAGCCAAAAGTATCTGTCTGGAATAAAAATAAGTGTGAAATATTTTTAAGAACCTTTCATATTCGCTCATCTCATCCCCAGTAGATTTCATAAGATGTGACCGACAGTGTTTGGAATCCAAAACTGTTACGATTCCATCGAGGCAAATTTGACTACCTAAATCTTCGTCTAACCAGAAGAGTGATGCAACAGGACCTAAATAATTGGGGAGATCACCTTTCAAGAACACAAATAACCTGGATCAGCAAGTCCAGATATCTCAATTAGAATATAATCAAATTTCCCCTTCCGTTTCATTAAATTTTCAATGGCCCGTACGCTTGCATCTTTTAAAGAACAGCACAAACAACCGTTACGCAATTCTATCCATTCTTCAAAGAGGTTGCCATCTTTTTCACTCCACGCAATACTAGACTCTACAGCTGAACCTTCTCCAAAATCATTTAAAAGAACAGCAATCTTTTTGTTATGAGCATAGGTTAGAATATAATTCAAAAGAGTAGTTTTTCCAGCACCTAAAATCAATTTGATAAATGTATTGCAGCTATCAATGCAACCTCAAAACGCAATTTATCGACAACGACGAAACATATGTTTGAAAATACAGTGGATACAAGTTGGTTGGTGTCCATTTATTTTCGAAGTCTGTCCTTTGATGGACCAGGCGTGTATTTAAGTAGATTAGCTTTAACTAATGAGTTGCTTGATCAAGATGTCTGAACAACTTGCACAGCGGCATACTTTATGCACATTAACACCATAGATTTAGCGAACATAAAAACCAGTGGTTAGAGAGTACTTCCATTTAGTAGAATCCCTTTCTATAAAGATATTAAGGTAAATGATATTTTGAGGCAATAAAACCACAACGAACATTAGGAGCTATGTATCTTAAAATATTGCACCGCATAGACGGTAAGAATGTAACTTTATATCACAATGTATTTTGTGTCGTTCAAATACTTAACACATTGACAAAATGCATATTTCCAATTGCATCAATTGAACAGACTGTCAGGTTAGGTATTTCTTGTCGCTTAATTTCAGGGTTTACTATATCTTGAAACGCCTTATTACAGTATTCACAGTGATTAAATTGCATTCAAACATGCTAATCCCAATTACGTCGATATGAAAAGTCTGAGTGAGCACCTAAATGCCTTGATCACTTACAATACAGATATCTGGACTATGATTTTACGTCTACATTTAAAAATCGATGAGAAAGATTTGTTTGGAATCTTCGAGAACAACGCAAGAACGGTACGTTAGAAGACTATTAACCAAACAGCAGTAGCTGAAGAAAAAATTCACTCAGAGAAATAAAGAATAATGCTCACACATTTGTTACTAACATGATGAACCATCATCTAAAAACAAGCCATACAGCAGTAATCTCATGTCTAATTTAAGTGAGAACACCGGAATCAATATGTGTAGGGATACGATGAACTGTAACAAAAGAAAATACCACTTATATGATCACCAAACTTAGATTTCTAGAGGACTTCAAAAAGCGAAGTTCGGACAATATAAAGTGAAAACTGACCAAGGTATCCTGACAGAATCGTGACAGGGACTTTGTCCAAAGTGGGTAAACTCAAATTCGTATCACGTACTAAGTCAGGAATAATGTCATCCATTAGTAAGGGTATTGTATTGAACCTTGTAGATACTACACAACTCCAATCAAGCCTTTGAATACTGATGGTAAGTTGAATATCTAGTGGCCTGGTACTTCTGAAAAAACAAAGAGGAATTATATTAATACTAAATATGCAATGTCGAAGCAGGAAATCATTAAGACGAGGTTTACAAAAGAAAGTAAACGTTATATGCAATGATCAAAAACTAGAACCGTCCACTACATAAATTCAACTCAATATGTAGTCTCTCGACGGTTGCTCACGATTCCAAATTGAATGTTGATCATAAGGTTACCAACCTTTCTAAAAAAAAAAAGGTCAACAAGAAAATAACACTAAGATCGTTTGAACTCTGCCTTGGAAGTTGAAGGGTCTTCAAATAGAAAGGTTATGACGCCGTATTGGTTCATTTATTTTAACACATAAGTATAGGTACAGGGAGGCACCAAATACATATGCGCCACACAAATCTCAATTGATTTGTGTGAGGGCTGTGATACTGCTCGGGTGCCCAAACCGAAGCAGGTGGTTTTCTTAGGGGGCCACACCCCGAGCCTTTGACCTGAACGTCTGACCCACAAGGCAGTGGAGCATCGTGAGGAGATGCAGTCCCATGGTAGCCGGTGACCAACGATTGGTTCATACGCCATTTGTTCCTTCAGGATACTGGAGCCCATGTGCACCATTGGTTTGGGGTCCGGTTAAAGCGCCGGACATTCGCTTTTCGTCCCCTCATTTTTGTAAACAACACCCCCGCCACGAGAAGGCAGTGAGTAGGACTTCCCTGGCAGAGGCTATATACGCATGGCCATGTGAGAGCATTTCGAGAGGCAGAGCGGACTCTCCCCACTCTCGGCCGTACCAGGGCATTTGGTTCAAATGGTTGCGGACGGAATAGAAGAAGCTTTCGCTTAACAGCTCTCTTAAGGAGTAGAAATTGTGTCTGCAGTCCGTTCTACTATGTTGTATCTCCAGTTTTTGGGTGTTACCCCTTGGGTTAGTGTTGGGACTAAGCTTAAGTAGGTGTTTAAGAGAGTGTCCAGGTGTGTTAAGGATACTGTAAGCCATTAGAATGTCACCTCTAAGACGCCTATACTCTAATGGGTAAAGGTCGAGTGATTGGAGGCGCTCATCGTAAGGTTTAAATTTGAGTCCCCGAACTGATTTCGTGGCTCGCCGTTGGATACGCTCCAGAGTGTCCTTATCCTTTTGGAGTGTAGGAGGGAATACTATGTTCCCGTACTCTAAATGGGGACGAATGAAACTATTGAAGATTATGTGGAAAGTTCTCCCGTCAAACTGACCAAAAATGCGCTTCAATGTTAACAGTGCAAGGTTTGCTCTAAAGGCATTTTTGTCACAGTTGGCGTAAGACTTTAAGTCGTAGGGCACCAGAACTCCTAAATCTTTTTCGACTCGGGATACTACTAGAGAGGAGTTTCCTAAGTTGTAACTGTAATCTGCGACGTGTCGCAGATGGACTACTTTACACTTTGAAGTGTTAAAGGTAAGTCCGTTATCATCTGCCCAACTTTGAAGTCGAGTCAGATCCTCCTGAAGTGCCTGTATGTCTTCTTGGTTGCGTATCTCTCTCCAAAGTTTCACGTCATCGACAAAGAGCAGTATGTCTGACGTTACCTGTTGAGGAAGATCATTTATATAAATCAGGAAGAGGAGAGGTCCTAGTACTGAGCCCTGGGGGACCCCACTAGAACATTCCATAGCGCGTGAGAAATTGAAGTTTACCCTGACCTTAAAATGTCGATTTGTGAGGTATGAACTGAGCCAGTCAATTAAAGGTGGTTTGATTCCCAATTGTTTGAGCTTGTTAATAAGACATGTGTGGTTAACCCTATCGAAAGCTTTAGAGAAATCAAGGTAAATGATGTCTACCTTCCCCTTGCGATCAACGATGCTTGTCCATCTGTCCACCGCGGTCAGCAGGTTCGTCATACAGGAATAACCCTTCCTGAAACCATGCTGTTGGGGTGAGAAGAAATTTAAGGACAGCAGATAGTCATGTATATCATCGTATACCAGGGACTCCATGATCTTTGAAGGTATAGAGAGAAGGGCCACCGGTCGGTAACTTGAAGGTTCACTGCGTCGACCTCCTTTGAAGATTGGTGTGATATGAGCCAGCTTCCAATTTTCCAGTAGTTTGCCTCGACTTAGAGAGTGTGAGAACATTACGCCAAGCGGAGTTGCCAGGACTGAAGCTACTTCCCTCAGTATAGCAGAATGGACCATATCTGGGCCAGGAGAAGTGTCTTTTCTTAGGTGTTGCAGTTTACGTAACACCAAGTTAGCACTAAGATTCACTACGGAATGTCCTGTGCAGTTGCAGATGAAGCTTACATCAGTATAGTTGACGTGAGTCGGTTGAAATGTCCGGGAGTATTGCTCAGCCAGAGGGTTAGCGGCGTCACCGTCGTTATCGGTCGGGCCGTTAGGACCTAGCAGTTAGGAAAATCCAGTTTTGGCTTGACGAATAGAGGCTGCGTAACGGAATAAGCTTTTCGGATTGGAAATAAATTTATCCATAAGCTTTAACTGGTACTGAAGCATATCTTCTCTTCCCAATGAGCATCCACATCAAGTTGACGGTGAACATCCCAATCCACCTGTTGTAGATAATCCTGTAGAGCTGACGAATTCAACCGTTTGAAGTTCCAGCGCCTGTTGTTGTCGGGATATCTTAGCTCTGTTTTGCTGACGAAACTGAAGGCTATAACGGCGTGATCGCTTTTCCCCAGGGGAGCCAGAATTGAGAGGTTGTCGACTAGAAATTCTTCATTTGTAAAAACACAGTCTAAGCGCGACGGTGTCTGACCGTTCCTCCAACGAGTGTGCGACTTCACATTTTCGTGTAGTCCCAAGTCCTCAATGAGGTTGAAGAACCGAGCTTCGATTGAATTTTCACCTCCAGTATACGTATGTTCCGCGAAGTTGACTCTAGGAAGATTGAAGTCCCCTAGGATCAGGATATGAGTGAAGCTGAGACGTGTAGAGCGGGATAGTCCCTCCAGCATGCGACTGTCATACTCGATGTCGGCAGTGGGCTTCCTATATATGACTCCGACTAGGCACCTCGAAGTAGTGGACAATCTCATAGAGCACCATAGGGATTCCTCAAGATTGTCAAACTCGTGGTTGTGGATTTGATGTACAACCAGGTCAGATCTTATGTATAGGGCTACTCCACCCCCAATTCCTGTTTTTCTGTCATTGCGAAACAGAGACATCCCAGGTATTGCTAGCTCCTGGTCCGAATACTGAGGAGATATCCAAGTTTCATATATTCCTATCAGATGAACTTTATTAGCGTTGCTAAGTTCACTTAGTTCATCTATTTTATTTGGTAGACTCGCGGCGTTCATGTATAAGCAGTTAATGCTTTCAATTTGAAACGCGTGAGCTTCTTCCTGTTTATCTGTGAGAGCCTTGCTTGAGTGGACAGGTAACCCACCTATATAAGTTTTGTCAAATTGGTAGGCCCTGTCCTTTACACGTTTTTTTTTGTCTTGAAGACAGTCCACAAGTGGAATGGTCAGTTCCAGCTTGCCTTTGTGCTTGATCCTGGCGTCGTATGGCCTATCCGGGTGCATATGGATCCCAGTTGGCAACCGACGTCTGTTGACTCGAAATGCTTCCAGAGTTGCAGCCGCCATATGGGAGGATGGAAAAGTTATCCTCATTAGTCGGGGTCTAGGATCCCCATCCTTCTTGGCTAGTCTCATCACATGCTGAGACAGTATGTTTTTAAGCCTCAAGGACTGCTTGATGAATTTCCATTCCCGAATGTCAGAGTTTGCTTGAGTAGGGTCCATGTTTTCCGGTACACCTTGCACGATGATATTTCTTCCGCGGAAAAACTTCTCTCGAGAATCTTTAGGGACGTTTCGGATGAGATTGCGCTCAGAATATGGCATGTCAGGCAGTATTCTGACGTTCCCATCGGATTTCAGTAGATGACTGGCTAGCAGGACATCCTCTACTTCGGTAGCATTCTTGAGTGTTACACGGAGTAGTCTCGGGTGATTTTGATGTTTAGAATCCTTTCCCCGAGTGAGCCGTGTGACCGTCAAAGGCTCTATTCTAGGGAGTTCCAGCTTTTTGTTCAGTTCACCCCAAAGCATCCTGTCATTTTTGTCCTGCAAACTGAGAGGAAGGTCAGGATTGTCTATGAGGTTCATGATTATGAGGGAGTCATCACGGACCGTTGTTGTTTTCCCAGCTCTTCCAGTGCGTTCAGATTCAGTACGTTGTTTTTTGGAGGTCGAAGCAGGTTTTTTAATCGTAGGCTTTTTAATAACCGGGCGGACATTTTTGGGGGTAGACTGAGCAATCAAAGCACCAGTTGATGTCCGTACAACACTTGGGATGTCAACCTTGGACGGTGACACCTGGTCCTTATTAGCTCTGTTGGCGTGGGTACAGTCACCTGCAGAGTTTTTAGGAACCACTGTTGCGTTTGAGGACCCTGAACTGGGAGATCCAATTTTAGTGAGGGAATCAATTATTGTCGACGTAATGATGGTGCTGATTTTCAACATGTCATCATTAGTGCTAATGCGCGTTCCATCGATGGTTAACTTGTCAACATCCCTGTTCTTATTTTCGTTACGCGCCCTCGTTTGCCTACCTATTTTATGGCTATCTGTTTCCAAGTTTACTGACAATTTATTCCGCAGACCTGTCAGTAGAACAATGATATTGCTCAGCAGCACTACAGCGTCCGTGTTGCACGTAACGCACACCCACTTACGGTTCGATTTGCTGAGTCTCTTATAAGCCGTTGCCGTAAGATCTGTGCACGTTTCGTGAAACCAACCTTTGCAGTTGTCACACTGCATGCCAGATGTAACAGCGAAACGGCATCCAGGTCTTTTACATGAATTTTTCATGGCTGTATTTACGTAAACTGTGCTAGAGATAGTATCAAAGCTTAAGACCGTTAAAAATACACTAAAAACCACACTAAAACGGGAAAAATGTATAAAAACGGATGAGATAAAATGAAATAGCCTTTACGTGAAAAACTGAAAATAAGCCGAATAGTAAGCTGAGGCAAAACCGCAGTTAACTATTAAATTAGGTGAAACTCAAAAAAAAGTAATCTACCGAACTTGTAGCTCAGAATAGATTGTTTAGATCAGAAATGGTACTTTTGTTGCGTAAGAACACAGCAAAAGTTTGAGAAATGCAAACCACGTT